AATTTCTTTTGCAGAAAGCAAGGACATATAAAAAGGGATTGTGTAAACTATAAGTAGTGGTTAGACCAAAAGGGGACATCGCCAAGCAGCAGTGAGAAAGATCAAACGAATATAGCTTTAGAAGTAGAGAAGAGCGAGAAAGATTGCAATGCGTTAATCGCATCTAATAGGAAGGGCTCTCACACTTTGATGTATGGTCTCTTGGTTTGGCATGCATGCCAATATCATGTGTGCCCTCACAAGGAGTGGTTTGTCATTTCTGAGAACTAAAATGATGCAACAGTTGATATGGGGAACAACTCAATTTTCAAGATGGTTAGCATTGACAATATCAAGGTGAAGATGTATGATGGGATGGTAAAAACTCGAACATTTCAGAGTTGAACAAGAACCTAATTTCTCTAGGAGCACTTGAGAGTGTGGAATGCTAGTTCGTAGGTGAATGCAAATCATAAGGTGATGAAGGGTGCGTTGGTTTATCTCCAAAAACGAAAGAAGGGTGAACTGTACAAGTTGATTGGGAGCATGGTGATCAGCCAAGCTTCAATCAAAACAACAGAGACACAAGTTGAGGATTTCTCAAAGCTTTGTCACATGTGCCTGGTTATATAATGAAAGGGGTCTTAGAGTGCTGAATGCGAAGAAGTTTTTTAAAGGTGTTAAGGAGTGCGAACTACAGTTCTACAAGTTTTGCATGATGAGAAAACAACCTAAGGTGAGCTTCACGATAGCAATGCATAAAATCAGAGGCTTATTGGACTACATTCATTTAGATGTGTGGGGGCCTACATCGATATGGCCCACAGGTGGTGCAGAATATTTCGTCATATTCATTGGTAACTTTTCATGGAGGATATGAGTTTATTTTCTAAATCATAAGTCTCATGTATTCGAAAAGCTAAATGAGTAGAAAGAGGAGATCGAGAAGCAAATGAGGTGACAGATCAAATATTTGAGGACAGAAAATAGAGGTGAATACATCTCAAAGGAGTTCAAACAATTATGCGATGAACAAGACATACATCATTAGCTTACAGTATCTGGGTGATCAGAACAAAATGAGGGTAGCAAAGCTAATTAAGACACTATAGATTATAGTCAGCAATGGCGAAGAGGTTTTGGGCAGAAGCTGTGAATCATGTATGCTATTTGGTCAATCGTTCACCATCAACAACCATCAATCTTCAGATCCTAGAAGAAGTTTGAATGGGAGAGCCAATACGTTATGATTCCTTGAGAATGTTTGGGTGCTCTGCCTACGCTTTGGTGGATAGGCATAAGAGGAGCAAACTTGATGCAAAGTCAAGCAGATGATATTTCATTGGATTTCAAAAGATCGTCAAGAGATTCAAGTTATGTGACCCCAAAAGAAAAACAGCATTCATTAGCAGAGATGTTGCTTTTGATGAGGACTCTATGTTAGTTGATGATGGATGCGAACCACAAAAGGAATACAACGAAGAGGTGAAAGAACATTCAATGCAGAATGAGATTATAGGCTCACATCAGGTCAAGGATACAGACATAGGAGATATAACTCATGACGGAGATGTGGGTGTGGACGAGCAGATAGTTACAAATGGTGATGAGGAGACTAAACCCTAGCATGAGCATTCTATAGCACAGGGATGACAGAGAAGAACCCAAAAGGCACCAGACAGGTATGGTTTCGAAGATGATCATGTGATATTTCCTCTGGTTATGGAGAACGGCAATCCAAGCACTTATAAGGAAGCACTACACAATAAGGACAACAGCAAGTGATTGATGACAGTGGAGATAGAGTCACTTTGGAAGAATTAGACATGGGCATGGGATCTAGTCACACTATTGAAGGATAAGCGACTTATAGGATGCAAGTTGGCATTCAGGAAGAAGGAGAATGAGCAGTACAAAAAACTCCTTGTGGCCAAAGGATATGCTCAAAAAGAGGGGATTAACTATAACGAGATATTTTCGTTGGTGGTCTAACATACATCGATCTGGGTGTTGTTGGCGATGGTAGTGGAGCATGACATGGGGTTGGTGCAAGTTGACATGAAACATCATTCTTACATGGAGAGCTTGAAGAGGTTACCTACATAAAGCAAGTGGAAGGATTCATAGAGGAAGGGAAATATGATCACATGTGCAATCTCAAGAAGTCACTTTACATGTTGAAGCAATTTCCAAGACAATGGTACAAGCGGTTGATTCATTCATGTTGGTAATAAGATACACTTGGTGTGAGTATGACAGTTGTGTTTACTTCAAGCAATAAAGTGAGAGAGCATTCATACATTTGTTGTATGTGGATGAAAAGTTGATTGCAATGAGAAGTAGGAGATTCGAAGTTGAAGGCTCGACTGAGCAGGGAATTCATGAAGGACTTGGATGAAGCCAAGAAGATCCTTAGGATGGAGAATGGAGATTCATTGAGACAGGAAAGAGGCAAAGTTGTTCTTATCCCAAAGGAACTATATTGAAAAGGTGATTAAAATATTCAACATAGGGAAGATAGGACCGGTGAGCAACCCTACTGTCGATCTTTTCAGGTTATCCTCATATTTGTGTCCGAATATAGATGAGGGTAAGAAAGAGATGTCTCGAGTGCCATATGCAAGTACAGTGGGATCACTCGTGTATGTTATGGTGTGCACAAGGTCGGACTTATCATATGTAGTGAGTTTGGTGAGCAGGTACATATCAAATATAGGGAAGCCTCATTAGGAGGTGTTGAAGTGGATACTATGGTATTTAAAAGGTACAACACAACTTGGGCTATTATACCAAAAGATACAAGAGAAGCCAAGCAAGTTGAAAAATTACGTAGAATCAGACATCGCAGGAGATCTTGATCGAAGGTCGACTATAGGTTTTGTATTCATAGTTAGAAATAGGCCAGTTAGTTGGAAGTTGCAGTTTCAAGACATTATTGCACTTTCAGCGGTAGAAGTAGAACACATGACGACGATTGAAGTAGTAAAGGAAGTCCTATGGTTGAAGGGATTGGTTCTTTATTTCGGATTTAAGGCTACTAGCACAGAGTTACTTTGTGACAGTCAGAGCAAAATTTATTTGGTGAGGATCAATTATTTCATTAGAAGTTGAAGCACATTGAGATACAATTTTACAAAATTAGAGTGTGAGGCAAGAAAATATATCAAGATGGTGAAGGTTGATACAATGGAGAATCCGATATATATCATGATGAAGCCAGTCCCTACAGAGAAGTTCAGGGATCCTTGGATTTTAGTCATGCACTCACTCAGTAGGACGAAACACGATCTTAGGTGTAGACCACAACAGTACGCGACTTCATGTATATGTCATGGTCAATGTATGATATACTCATGGATTTGAGGAAGGGAAGTAGCTTCTAGTGGAGGTTGTGAAAGTATTCAAATACTTATGGCTTTTTGAGGATGATATGCGGCAATAGGTAGAGTCGTAAAGAAGGAGAAAAGGGTGACAAATGCAATTTGAGCCGAGGTGAAGATTGTTGTAGCTAGCTCAATTGCCACTAGAAGACATGATGACATTTTTGTAGAAGAGAAAGAAACAACAACAATAGCAAAAGAAGTAGCACTAGCAAGCAGTGAGACATGCGGTACCCACACGCGGTCACGGTCCAGAGAATGGACCGCATACGCCCACCGCAAGCATTCCATGTCGAGAGACCAGACAACGTGATTTAGGCACATGCAATTCGAAACCCCTCAGCCGCATTTTAGGTGTTTTTTGGGCTGTTTCGGGTATGTTTTGTGTGGGCTTTTTTTGGGTATCTGGATAGAATCCTATTTAAATGGATCTCCCATCAAGATAGGGTTTGAGGGATAGAATCCTATTTAAAATCCTAGAAGTTACGGGCATCAAAAGAGAGAAACTTAAGGAGAGACCTATTTCTTGCGAGGATATGCAAGCTAGGGTTTGAGAGATCTTGTATTCTTCTTCTTCTTCTTCTTGATATAGTAAAGGAATCCTCCCCCTCTATCGTGGACATAGGCAATTTGTCAAACCATGTAAATCTAGTTGTTCATACTTTTGTGATTGCATGTTAGTTTCTTTGAGATTGTTTTCTTTGTATTCGCTAATAGTTTCCCGTAATAAACCCTAAAAGCAAGGTGTCACATCTCTGATTAGTTTTAACAAATCGCTACTAGTGTGGATGTTAATTCGCGACAGCACAGCGCGGTCAATAACTAGCATGCAGCAAAGAGGAGCGACAAAGCAGTGCCAAATAAGGGAAAACGCTTTTTGGCTCGCGCTTTAACGCGCAAGCCAACTCGCACAGAGACAAAGGGGTGGGACCCACTGTGCCAGTGGGGCCCACCCCCTGTTTCTGTGCGAGGTGGCTCACGCGTTAAAGCGCAAGCCAAATAGCAGCGTTGTGCAAATAAAGACCGCAAGCACCGAGCCCACTGGTCGCTTCTTCAGTTCAAAAAACCACCTATGGACTAGGGTCTAGGAATTTGCAAAATAGCAGATCTATCCAATTCACTGCCCACAAGAGCCGAGTTACATCAGCCAAATTTGCTTCTATTCCGTACTTTAACCCACCAGATCCGCAGGGATTTCTACACGTCACATATATTTTCAAAAGTTTACTCATATTTAATTTACTAGTTGCAGGGATTTGTACTCATTACATATATTTTCTAAAGTTCACTCATATTTACTAGTTTACTTTACTTCCTAAATTATGCTTGACCTTTAATTTTACCATCATGACATGCCCAGTCCCTCGCCCTACGAACGTCAGGTCGTCCCCCTATCGTTGCTCCTCCCCCTTCTCTTATTTTTTTCTTCTTCTTCTATTCCTTGAAAATTTTCAGATTTAACAGGGGTTAAACAAAGTCCATATGGATAAAAGCTGAACATTACAAAATAAAACCACACATTTCTGAACACCCAACATGCCGCCAGAATACAGGAGACTGTTGCCAAATTATTTCATCAAATTAACAGTCTGAAACATCTTATTGGTGGTGAACCGCACTGAGAGGCAAGGAAATCCACCCTAGAAAAAAAAAACATTCAAACGATCACATTATTCATCAATGTAGTCATATCTAATCATCAATGGTAACAAATGTGCTGTCAATAAATGAGAAACATGCGATTCAACGAAAACTCGGTAATAAGGTGTGGAAACAACACAAAATTCCGCCTCCCTCCCACTCTTATTAGTACTCATTGCATTAAAAAATTGGTCCTATGCGTAGGAGTACGAGACCACAAACTGTTGGAATCAGAAACTACCAAACTGTTTCAATCTTTCTTTCTCTACCACTACAAAATCAAGATCATCGTTGCCAAAATCGGCCATGTTGATTCTGCTCTTGCATCCGCCTGACAAGGGAGGAAGAAGTTACTTTCATATTAAATCAGGCAAAAACATTGTATGGTTAACGTTGAATAGTTGATGCATAAGGCATGTGGACGAAGCACATAATGTTTACATCCTACTACAACCACTTCCCCTCAGTAGAGCAAGTATCCAACCTGAAGTGTAGTCAAAATGCACACAGTGACGGAATATGAACCTGCAATCAAGCTATGCTCTATGCACAAAGCAAAGATCTGAGAGGGAGGGATCCAATCAGACCAACCAAGTAAACAGGTAGGCTCAAATGTGACGCCATCTACTGTTTCTGCACTAGCCTAAGTGTAGTTTGCATAAAGCAAGAACTAGAAACCCATAAATGGTAGTACCATCCAGATCATCTATGTGCGAAATTACCTTAATGCAACAACAACAACAACAACAACAATGTTATCGAATTTTTGGGGTTGGGAATTAGCTAAGTGCTATAAATGAATATCAATCAGGAAGGGGGAAAAAAGGATTTGGATCTTCTTCGCTGCTGCTACTTCCAATTGAAATGATTGATTGTTTAATGGATGGTTATGATTTGTCATCTTGAGTGTAAAATAGAAATGAACGAAATTCATGGGGCTAAAAATATTTACTTTTGATGCTCTTTTGAACGCTCAATAAACTCCCTGGCTATATCATGACCTTGGTAAGATGCAAGTACAGGTCTTATATCTGCAGGCCTGTGGAGAGCCACATCTGTCGCAGAGGTTTAGAATTGCAAGAATTAGAACCTGCTCATAGTCAATCACTACTAATCATAGTACACACATATGCTAACAAGACCATGTCAAGATGACTCACATTCAAGAAATGGAATAAGGTCAATAAGTGCAGTGTCATCATCTTCAAGCTTCCAAGGCTTAATCGGCACAGAATTTTCAGGCTGAAAGCTACTTTCTAAAGCATGTGCACTGATATAAATAACTCGAGAAGGATCTCTGTTGAGCTTAGACAGGTCCTGCCAATAGCATTTAGGCACGAAGATCGCAAATAGATGAGATCTCTGAGCCAAGTGACTGAAAGAATAATATTTTAGCTTTGACAATAAGATAATTGATGGATATGATAGCAGTTGTCATTTATTGAAGTGCAAGCAAAATTTGTCAGATTGGAGTTCATTCCTAAATTCGAGATGGAAGAAAGTGACAAATTAATCACAGAAATTTTTCACAAAGGAAATCTTGACCTTTGCCTAGATACCAATAAAAACCTTGTCACGCCCTGGTTCCAAAACGTAATTAGTTTGTAACGTCACTCGGCCGGCAATGCAACCATACGGTCACATTCACGCCTCTAAATCATCCTGTATACATATATAAAGCGAAAACTACATCATAGAACATGTACTAAGGTAACAAAGAAAATAGATAGATAAAAAATATCTGGAAAGACTGAGTTCTACTACAAGTCCACAACTATCCAAAGTAGGAAAGAAGAAAAATACATCATAGTCTGGAGAACCAAAGGTGATTATAGGAAAAGTCTCAATCAAATAACTACCTAAGACAAATGAAGTGGAGAACTGATAGAATAAACGATGATCACTGTCGCCGAGCCTGCTTCTCGAAATATTCTCGATCCTGCGAAGGAAGAACAGCTCCCGAGTCTGGGGTGCGCAACCCCAGGGGAGTCAAAAAACTCCCAATAAGCATGTAAAATGAGGAAATTATGCGCGTGTAAAGTGTATGTGATAGGTATAAAGAAAAGATGAAATCTAAATTAAAGATGATATAAGGAATGCTACTTGTAGATATCAAACAAGATCTAGCACAAGGCACACGCACAAGCACATTATTATTGTTCAAGTGTTATTTGAATTAGAGAAGAATATTTTCATGCATATAAATCAGGTTCCCGTAAACCGTCTCGGGAACACGGCTTCAAGTCAAGTATGTGCTCTTGACCCTTTTTATATATAACTCAGGATATCAAAAATGCGCATGTGCCCGCTTATATACACTTTATATTCTCCATCCAACTCCCCTTTATTAAATCTCATATTTGTATATTTATTTAAGTGACTGTACATGAAATGTTGTACACTAACTACAAGATTACCGTGGAACAGCTTCCGTAAAATTTATAAAAAATAACCATGACCCAAAACATGTCCAATCAAGATGAGTGCATCGTCTAGTCAATGCTATTATAATAATGATAATAATCAAGAGAAACTCCTCACATCGAAATATCAATGTCGATGGTACAGTCATGCTATGATAACACGTTTATTAATTATATTTTTGACGAAAGTCGTCTTCATGCACAATCAATCCTATTTAACATCACTAGGTGATCAAACATAACATCAGGTGATCCAACAAGCATCAAGAGATCAAACAATATCATTATTATGACCTTCCTTCCTCAGCTAAGACAGAAATGGAAGACACATAAAAATATATGAAAGTTGAGAAAAGACAAGAACTTTCAGCCTAAATTGATGACAATGCTTGGTAAAGCTTTGGAGTTTTTATGCATTGACTAACACAAATTTTCATGACTTGTACAACAACTCGATTGACAAAAGTAGGTGATCATGAGAGGCTCATAAGTTTGTTAAGTTTTAGCCAATTTAGACCCTCTTTGTGGGCCTAAGGCCATAAACATATAATCATGTCCTTTAATAGAAGACCAAACAGTTGCTCTGAAGTCAGATAGACACATAGTACTCCTTAATATGGATGAAAATACATTTGAAACATAAAATTACTAATGCCCCGTTTAATGAAAGAATATTTTAGTACCATTTCAAAATCTTATAACCAAATAACCTGTAATGAAATGATATATCTTCATATGTAATTACCTTCAGTGTCATTGGTCCACAAGGAGAAGGCAATATTGGTGGATATCATAGCATTATATACGTGGACCCTAACGGGCAAGGAGTTTAGTTTTTCTAATAATATATGAGCGAAAGAAAAAGAAACACGAAAAAATCTGAGTGCCAACATTATATGGTTTAATTCATAGTAGAAGCCATTTATAAACCCAGGTTGGGGAAAATTTTCAGTTTGAAACTGACATTTTACAACAATAAGGACTCAAAGGAGTTATTGTTGAAGAAGTGAACAGCATGGGCATTATTTTATCAAAGAGAGACTAATATGACATAATGACATAAACAAAGCCACAAGACTGGGTTGAAAATAATCACATGACTGCCACTAGGAAAATGGGAAATACCCAAAGCTACACAATTGCCGTATATGTTTGAAGAGTTTTTCTTAGAAACCCAACAGTATTCCTCAAGTTTCATATTAGAAAAGTGATACTTTTAGTTACTTCTGTTAAAGTCATCATCTCCGGCTGTTAATGTCAACACCACCGGCCTACGGCTACAGGCCTACGGCTACAGTGCCGCCACCCTATGGCCGCCCTAGCTACAGTGCTATCTATCGTTCAGCTCATATTATATTGTGTAATCTTGTGTATATATAGCTTGTAATCTACCCAAACACATAATCAAGAAATCAGAGTTCTCTTCAATACCTGTTTAACATGGTATCAGAGCACAATTCACAAATTATCCCCAGCTCCAGCCGTGGTCATCTCCCAACCTCGTCGTCGTAGTAGCACGCTGCCCTCGTCGTCGATTCAGGCCGCCATCGAACCCGTCAGCCGCCATCGAACTCGTCGCCCTCAAATCAGCTACCCTCATTGTCGACCCTCTTCATCGAGACCCTCATTGTCGCCCTCGCTTCGCGGATCTGGACCCGAATCCAACGGTTCAGATTTCACGTTCGGACCCGGATCCGAACTCGTCCTCTTTATCGGATCCCCGCTTCCGTCATCTCGCGCCAGCTTCGACCCGATCGAAACACCGAAGAGCCTCGGCGACTGCTCCTCCTCGTCTCTCCCGCGCCCAGAGCTCCGAAGCCCCAGTGGTCTTCAAACAGAAGCTCCGCGTCCAGAGATCCGCTGAGATCTAATTTCCTTAGATATTTTCAAGCAGAAGCTCCGCTGACACCTCCCCATCTTTTATCTGTTAAAACCCATCTTTTATCTCTTCAGGCCCATCTACAAACAAAAAAAAAAAAAAATCTTTCATCTCAGGCCCATCCACAA